CATTCCACTGAATTAGGGTCTTTTCTGCGAGCCGGAAGAGCAGTTCGCTACCCCGCGCAAGATTGAAATCCAAGCCTGCACATCTCCCTTGCTCCGATACAGCATGCTACTGCTTTGATTGCAACTTCTGTAAAAAGAAAAAAAGTCTCTTGGTTTGGATGACTTCTTTATTTTATGCTCTCATTGGGTAGATATTTCCCCCCCCCCCCGATTATTTTTTTATCGGAGGGGGCTTTGCCTCCCGGGTAGACTGGGTTGCTCCTTGCTTTTCTGTACAAATTACAGTGAAATCATATTAGCTCCCCATTTGTTCTGGCTCGTATTTATTTTGGCTAGTATTAAGACAAGCGCGTCAGCGTGTTTTACGTGGACCAGCGGGAGCTTTATGGCTACTGGGACTGGGATCTTATCTAAGAGCATCTCAGCCCCCCCTCATTCAACGAAAGACGCCAGCTGTTAATATCCCTTCCCTTTCCATTTCTTTGATGCAGATTCCGATCGCATGGTTGAAGTCTGCCACCACACATCTTCCAACACCTTAAGCCTGGTACCTCTCCAGGAGGGGCCCACCCCTTCCCCTCCTGACTCTAGAACCGACAGCCGGGACCACCCCGGATCTCAGGAGTGTTTCCTGGTGTTTGTCGGCTGCTCCCTCAAGGAAGATGACATGAAGGACTGGCTGAGGCAGACGGCCAAACAGGTGAGGGTCTCCGCCGGGCTCCTTGGGCCGGAGGGCGCCCACCACTCGCTCATTAGGAGACCAGCTTTGCTACGGGGGTGTTTTAGGTTCGGCCGGAGTGACGGTTGCCTTCCCAAGCTGTATTTTCAGTCCCAAATTTTGGAGTCAGACGTAAACCTGGAGAGATGGTTGGGCTGTTTTACGTAGCCTGGCAGCACTTTTTGATCCCATCGTTGTTTATGCAATGGGTGCTTATTCAGCCCCTCAAAATGACCATATCAAAATGTTGAATAGCTGCGAAATATGTCGTAAAATAACACAATAATTGAAATGCACAAAACAGCAGTAGCCAGAGTAGTTAAAATACCTCTGTACAATATATCCTTTTACAGGAACCATGCTGTAGTGAAAGGCCTTTGCCTGGGCCCCCAAAAAGGTCAGTCCCAGGGTACTTCGTTGAGGTGCAATTCCAGAGTTGGGGAAGGGGCCACCACTGAGAAGTCCTCTTCCTGAGCAACAGGAGAGGGTACCTGGATCACTAGGGCACGGGTAGGAACATATAGGAAGAGATATTCCTCGGATATTGTGGTCCCAAGTCATGAAAAGCTTTATGGGTTAATATACCAACATATGAGTTAATATACCAGCATAATGAGTTGGCATCATGAAGTGGACTGGGGCCAGTGAAATTCATGTAAAATTCATGGTATGTTTATATTTCCTAGTTCAAGTCAGTATTCTTGCTGCAGTAGTTTCCACCAACTGAAGTTTCTAATCTGTCTTCAGGAGCAGATCTGCATATATATCTTGAAGGCATCTAAATGAGGTGTTTTGGCCTGAATGCTAGGTAGAACTGCTGGCTGGAGAATTCTTGCCACACATCTTAAAGTTGCCAAGGTTGAGAAACACTGCATTAGGCTATGAAAGTTCACCTCAGACTGAGGAACATCTTGTCTGATGAAGACTTTTGGAGAATGATATCACTGCTGTCCTTTCAGTTGGTTTCGATACAGATCATACCCAGCTAGGGCTTATGGATTTTATTTGCAAATGTGGCACAAGAGAAATCTGTTGTGTAAGGGTCACTTGCATGCAGCCCTCGTGCCAGAGAACTGCAACAATAGGGCCAAAGTGACTTCAAGGCTTCCTGCTGCAACCAAGCCCTGGTGCCCTTCTGCGTTGTCGTGGGCTTCAAGACATCTGCTAGGGTGAGCTAACCTCAATTCTCCAGTGACTGAGTGTGCTGTGGCAGGCAAGAGTCACAGAGAGTCAGTTCTCACACAGTCACAGAAAAACAACTTGATAGCAGATCTGACCTTTACAAACACAAGGGACAGATGGGAGCCAGGCCTCCCGCAAAAGAGAGGGCCAGGCAACCTGTCACATAGGGCGGTCCAGAGAAGAAAGCAGAAAGGGGTCTGAATACCGATTCTATAAATAGGGCTTGCCCCAGCAGTTGCTGGAATTCTTTCACTGTAGTTTCCCAACTTTTCTCTGATTAAAAACTAATTAGAAGTCCTTGGATTATTGCAAGTTAGTCTGATTGGTTCCAGTCCTACCTGCCCAGCCTGACACACCATAATCAAGAAAAATGTGTGTGTGTGTGTGTGTGTGTGTGTGTGTGTACACACATAAGTAATAAGTATATAAATGCACGTATGAAGAAATGTATTTGTGTGAGTGTGTATGTGTGCATATGTGTGTGTGTGTATATATATGAGAAGTATATAGCATGTGCTTCTTACCTCTTAGTGTTGATAAGTGAAAATATTTTCTGTATTAGATTGTGGTAAGGATTGAAAATGGGCACGGATCTATCGGTAAAGAAGCAAAGTAGAAAGTTCATTCTCTGCATTCGTGTGTGCACGTCCATATATCTACATGCATCCCACACAGTCTTGCCACATAGCAGTCCAATTTGCACATTAAAAAGATTCCCTGGAAGCTTGACATTTAAACCATCTTAAAATTCATAAACCGCCCCAATCCACAACTGTGATTCACATCATTAACGTGTATCAGTTCTGAACGTCGCATGAAAATGGATATCTGGAACCTTCCTCAAATTTAATGCTTAATTTTGGGGTCTTTGATATATGTCAGGTCCTTTAAAAGTGTGTTATGCTGTCAAGTGTAAGCATTAGTCTAGGATGTCATTTATCATTTTTTTTCCTTCTCATGATATGAATTCTTTGACAGAGGAAAGTTATTTGGTTTAAGCCAACAACAATTCTGGGTTATATGCAATGGGCATTAATTCCCTCCCCTAGTAAAATGGGGATAGGAACATTGTCAAGGCAGGTTCACATCCACATGGAGTCATCAACACTCCCCAGGTGACTTCAAGCTACTGTAGTCACAAGCCTAGTTCGGCCAACACACAAAACTGTAATACAATTTGCTTGGTTTTGGCACAGCGGGAGCTTGTAGGCCAACGTTTATTCCAGCATTGTGAGCTCAAGTATGTTCGGGTTCTCAGCCTCGAACTCAGCATTCTTAGTCATGATAAAGAACCATGCCAGTACTTTGGAAATAGGATTTTGTCAGAAGCGGTTCAAGAAAGTTGGGATAAAGATCCCCAGAGAAAATGACTGTTGCTCAGGCCAGCAAGTGAACCAGATGTCCATGGCTTGGTATTATGACCGCTCTTATTAATATTATTCAGAGTAAATGCAGTTTGAAACATAGAGAATCATACTATTCTTAAGTTGAATTTCATGTTTATGCATTCTAAGTATTTTATACTTTTCAGACAACATTCCTTTCCCTCACTGGCCCAAATTCTTCTTCTTTCCATCCACATATAATGGATCACATTATATGTAGATGGAAAAGCACAAACTACTGGACAATCATGTATCAATTCAGTGGATAATAATTTAACTTGACCAAACAAGTGATCACAGGATCGCTTCCTAAATTATATCCTGCATTTGTCTGACCCCATTTCCTATTCTTTTCTTTTGGTTTTAAATAAGAGTAAGCCCCTGAACTGGATTTTTCTTATTCCCTATCTCCCACCGAAACACAGAAACCACAAAGAAAAGCTTTGAAGACTCGGGGCATGCTGACTTCACAGGAGATCAAGAACATTCATGTAAGTGGGGGACCTTTCAGTGAGAAAAGTGGCTTTTTGGCAGGAGCAGCTGAGTGATAGGTAAGCAGAGCTGAGCAATAAGTAGAAAGGAAGGGACATAAGGAAGACAGTCAATTCTTCTTCCCAACTGGAGTCATGACTCCATTGATTGGCTGTGTTTTGCCACTCTAGTTCCTTCCTTCCTTCCTTCTCACTCATTTCATTTAGTCCTCCCTCTGCTAAATTAAAATCCAGAATGCTCTGGGACTTTAGGCAGCTTCCTGAGGCATGTGGGCAGTCAGCAAGGCCTTTCTCAAACAACTCCCTCCCCATTGTTGAGCATTTGCAGTTTGCACATGCTCTTCCTCCATATTGTGTGCTTGGCCTCTTCTGTATTCCCCACTTCTTTATGTTGGTTTAGTTCCCCTAGTCCCTAGGGGCGGAGCTAAAAGATTGTTTTTGTGTGTGTTTCTGGTTCACATGACACAGTTTCTAGTTAGGGGCTTGCTTCATCTATGATCCTGATGTAGGGACTTGGAATAGGACTGTGTTTTATGGATACTACCCTCAGCAATATCTCCATCTCTAAATTCCAGGTAAAACGGCACTTAGATCCACTTCCAGCTGGCTACTTCTACAATGGGACCCAATTTGTGAATTTCTTTGGAGACAAGATGGATTATCATCCATGTATCTTTCTTTATGCACAGTGTGTTTTGCAGCCTAACCTGGCATCCATTCCTTTATACTCTTTGAAGATGAGGCAGTATTATATGTCATGAGTTAGAAAGACTTGGGCATCACTGTACAGTGGGCTATGGTGGCACCGTGTTCCATGATTAGTAGGTCCTTGAATTTCCAGGAATGGAGCTCCTCCTTAGTCAACAGTTGAGATCTGCCTTGGGAAAGACCCTGTGCATGTCATAATCTCTTCTTCTGTCTTGCTTGGACCGAAGCAGACATCTTTGTGGCCTACCTTCCTTGTCTCATTTAAAAACCCTGGTCTTATTTGTGATGCAACCCAAAGAGCTGTAAGCCTTCCAGGAAGTAGGAAGCCTCAAGAAGCTTCAAATGAGGCTTATGATTGGTTATCAAGGGTGGCCTAGGCCTTTTGGATCAGTTGTTATATGAGTGGGGCCCAAAATAGGGAACTTTGAGGTACCAGAAACCAGCCAACGTCTTGAGTGGGAATTCTAGGAGACTCCCAACATAGCTGACATCAAGAGGTTGAAGTCCAGCCTATTCTGTCTTACGGGCAGTTTAAGGGGGAACTATTAGCAGGGGGGATACCTCAGGCAACCTCCTTTGGGTCACACAAAAAGATTAATTAACTTGACTTTGAGGTCCCCGCTAGTCTTGTCTCAGGTTCCTACCAGAAACCATTTTCTCCTTAACAGTTTCACCCCAGTAATGGACCAGTTCATGAATGACTACTTGGAAGAAGCAAACCGTGAGATTGAAAAGTACAACAGAGAACTGGAGGAGCAGGAGTATCACGACCTCTTTGAACAGAAGACCTAACTCAGAAGCCATGTGCGGTATTGAAAAGTCACAGAGACTTTCTTTAAATTCTGAATTATTTGTCACCAAGAAACACTTTTCATCTTTGCTGGCTTTAGCTGGTCTTTTAATATTTAAGTTGCATTCACATTAGGTTGGCATCTGAAAATGTGATACTGTCCAGTAATATTTGTGGGCTGGTATATTTCCAAATCTGTGTTGAGTTCAGTAATCTAGAACACATTGGCATATTATGGAAAAGTGATGTAGGAACCTTTCATTTCAACAGTTCACAGAGCTGTATTTCCTATGTCATCAAGCTGGTCCTTAATGTTGCTTTTCTGATGTCCCCAAAATGCCTTTGCTTATGTTTAGTGATAAACATAATCAGGGTCTGTGATTGTATAGCAGCCCTATGTATTCCTGAAGAAAAAAATGAGGGAAGCACATCTGTTTGTAAAGACTACATGGTGATTTGGGGTACTGTTCCTACAGTGAGAAATGGGGGAATGTAAATGATCTTGACAGCTACCCCAAACCAACGTGTGATGGTTTGAAGATGTTCCTAAAGTGAAAAATAGGGGAACATATCTGTTCTTAAACAGATATGCTACTAACCAACTTGGTAGCTTGGCTGGTGTTCCTAAAGCGAGAAATGGGGGAACACACATGATCTCGACAGCTGCCCCAAACCAACATGTGACGGTTTGAAGATGTTCCTAAACCGAGAAATGGGGGGACATATCTGTTCTAAAGAACTGCTACTAACCAACATGTGATGGTTTGAAGATGTTCCTAAAGTGAGAAATGGGGGGACATATCTGTTCTAAAGAGCTGCTACTAACCAACATGTGATGGTTTGAAGATGTTCCTAAAGCGAGAAATGGGGGAACATACCTGTTCTGAAGAACTGCTGCTAACCAACATGGTGGCTTGGGGTGGTGTTCCTAAAGCGAGAAATGGGGGAACACAAATGATCTCAACAGCTGCCCCAAACCAACATGTGACAGTTTGAAGATGTTCCTAAAGCGAGAAATGGGGGAACATACCTGTTCTGAAGAACTGCTGCTAACCAACATGGTGGCTTGGGGTGGTGTTCCTAAAGCGAGAAATGGGGGAACACAAATGATCTCAACAGCTGCCCCAAACCAACATGTGACAGTTTGAAGATGTTCCTAAAGCGAGAAATGGGGGAACATACCTGTTCTGAAGAACTGCTGCTAACCAACATGGTGGCTTGGGGTGATGTTCCTAAAGCGAGAAATGGGGGAACACAGATTATTTCAACAGCTGCCCCAAACCAACATGTGAGGGTTTAAAGATATTTCTAAAATGAGAAATGGGGGAACATACCTGTTCTGAAGGACTGCTACTAACCAGCATGGTGGCTTGGGGTGGTGTTCCTAAAGCGAGAAATGGGGGAACACTAATGATCTCAACAGTTACCCCAAACCAACATGTAAGAGTTTGAGGATAAGTAAGAAATAAATTTCTAAAGTAAGAAATGGATAAGACTTGCATTCGTAAAGAATGCTCGAAATTAGCGTGTTATGGTTTATGAAGTGTTCCTAAAGGAAAAAATGGGGGAACATAAATATTCTTGAGAGCTGCCCCAGATCAGCATTTGGTGGTCTTTCAATTTTTTTCCCTAAAGTATTCTGTGGAGCTGCTCCTAAGCAACTTTGGGCTTTCAGGCTACATTTATAGTGAGATTGGAAGCAAATGTCCTAATTGTGATAACTCCATTCTAAAGAAATTCCAGCTACATATGAAAATGCTGGATATGTTAAAGCAGACCGTAACATGCCAGGACAAATGTTTTTCCCAACGCAAAGGGAACAGGACAAAAGCTGGACCTACTGACCTTGAAACACAATGAAAAAGTTAATTCTTTTTTTTTTTAATCTCCCTGCATAAGCGTTTCAAGGATACCACAAGAGTAAGAACCCTTATTTGAAAAGTCACTAACGCACGAGCACAATTCCGTGTTGGTTTGGTTGTGTGGGTTCCAGATAATTTTTGCTTGAAAAAGAGCCCAAGTTGATCAGGAGCTGCTTAGCTTTTGGATACTTTAGGGTATGGTTTCCTGACCCCTGCACGGGTGGCTCGTTCGTTCATTCGTTCGTTAGTTTTTAAGTAAGTTTCTGTTGCGCTCCATAGGACATCTGAAAGGAATAAAGTGATTTCCTTAAAATGGAAAGCTAGCAGTTCCTGATTAAATATATATTAAGCTTTCTTTCTGTGGCGTGCCTTGACGCCCCTCTTGCAGAAGATAGAGTGTCCTTATCAGAATCGTGAATTTATCTATGCATGGCTGTGACCTAGTTATTCTTCAGATACGCTGATAGTGCCTGGTAGGAGTAATGTAGCTAGGAGTTATTTTGGGAGGAGCAGAGTGAGCGTGGAGGCTAAGTCGGCGTGGCCATAACCGGTGAAAACACCAGGTGTTTTTTGAGATGGGGTGGTTTTAATGTGGCTCTTGCCATTTTTACCAGAAATCTGAGTGCAGCTCTGTGGGGCTCTTAGCACAGAAAGCATTGGCATCCCAGAGTGTTCCTGCAGTTGAGCTCCGTCTCCAAAGTGGGGCATTCAGAAAGGCAAAACAGCCCACACGTGGGACGTGATCCACAAAGACCTTCTTCTCCTGAGCCTCCGGTTGAGAACTAGTGGAGAATTTTTGCCCAGCTGGCTCTACTCGCTCCTCTTTCGCTTAGCATAGTTTGTCTAATGATCCCCAAAGCCATATATCTAGAAATAACCTTGTTGCCACCCAGCGTCCGGAAGCTGAGACAAATGCAGGCTAGCCTCCTTTGTCTCTGCTTCTTCGTTGATAAGGATATAGGTTCTAAGTGCAATTGTTCTGAATGAAATAGGTGGAGAAATGAAAGCCCTGCTGAACTCTGAAACGCAAGAGACAGAAAGGCATGCCGGTCCTGGCCAGGCAGGTCTCCGAGGGCTACGGCCAGCCCAGCCTTTCACCCACGCAGAGTGCGTGGGTGGGAAACCAGCACAGCAGTGTCGCCGTGTGCCTGGCTGCTGCAGAGCGCACTCCCATTAGCAATCCTTGCATGGTGCCTCTCGGAGAAATGCTCTCATCCTGCGGGGCATGGTTTCACATTGCATAGGATTGCTCTTCTGGCTGGGCCCGGTGGCCATCGCCAGTGGTGGGCAGACAATAGCCTCTGCAAATGAACACCCTGGCCAAATGAGGTGTGCTGTACAGCATGCTTCAAAGCAGCCCTGTGTGTCATCACCACAGAGCAGTGTTTCTCAACCTTGGCCACTTTAAGATAGGTGGACTTCAACCCCCAGAATTCCCCAGCCAGC